ATAATTGCAATGCAATAAGAATGGCTATTATATCCTTCGAATCGGAAATTAAGATGCTTTCTGACAGAAATATATAAGACTAGCGACCCGCCCTCGCTTCGCTTCGGAAACATTAAAACACACATGAAACCAAAAAAATCAGGGACAATGTCGGCTTCTAATGGAAAAAGAATTTTTCAAATCGGTCCAGTAGTTTCGGAGCCTATTCGAAACAAACAAACAAACAAATCTTTCCTCTTTATAATATTATAAGTATAAGTATAAGTATAAGTATAAGTATAAGTATAAGTATAAGTATAGATATAGATATAGATATAGATGAAGGTCCCGACCTATTCACGACCACCCGAAATTAGGAGTAGGCTTTTTAGGGGAGTTACGTAAAAAAATAATGATAAACATAAGCCGTCTTGGCATATATTATAAGAAGACAGTTAGGTACCACCATCCTGAACAATTCTGCTTTCGGTAACCATTTAAAATCAGGGTGGTGAGCACCATTTCATTTTCCAGACAAAAAAGAAAAAAAACAAGGATGTCATTATTAGACTTACCTGGGCTAGTTAGAAGAAGGACATTGTTATCATACAGATTAAAATACGTCCCTAATGATACAAATATTTAAATTCTCGAGTTATCGTGTGATAACGTTATTATTCTAGCATTGTGGGAGTCATTCGTGAACTCAGGTACGTAATTCCTTCGAAAACCTGCTCCAGGGTCGAATCACGGCGACCTTACATCACTCTACCGGTCGCCTTATCTATGAATTAACGAAAAATTCCATTGGATACAGTGTCGACCGCAAATTGTGAAATAAACATAATAGGAATGTTTGAAGTATGCTCTTCAATGGCATAGAGAATACAGTCATAGATACATAGGCTATTCAAGATTTTGTGCAATAACTTCAGAGATCTGAATTCATTGTAACTTCGACCATCACCATTTGATGATGTTCATTTATAAAATTTGATGTTTATGACCTATATGCAATACCGTCTTTACCATAAGGGCACACGGGGCCCGTGCCCAGGGCCCCCATTCTCAGGGGCCCCCGAAAGACCGACAATTTCTTACACACGTTTATTCTCAAAACATTTTTGTCGGGCACATTACACTTTTTTCACAAATCAGTAATCAGAAGGTATTTACAAGACATATACTATGCCTATAATAGAAGATTTTGCTCAACAGAAATCCCGAAAGAAACCGTTATCGAAATCGTAACCAAAAACCAGTCTAATTCTATTATCTAATATCATCAATCAATTCTAATATTATTAATGACATATTATATTATACTGTATTTGATTAAGCATAATAAATGGTCATACTCAGTATTTTTTTTAAATTATAATTCGCTTTTTTTCTTTCCAAAAGGGCCTCAAATTCTTGTGTGCCCAAGGGCCCCATCCTAGTTTAAGACGTCCCTGTCTATATGATACCTATACAAATGAATAGTTTTACAGTAATCCTTTCTCTTAAAGTTAACTTGAATAAATCTTTATGAAATCGCACATTGCACATCGAAAACGTAAGAACAAAAAGAGATGTCTATTACTTTATATTCGTAACGTCGTATTCGTAAACGTAATTATTATATGTTTAATTGAATACGGCGCTTGTATATAGGTATACTGTAGTTGCGTTTATTTTTATTTTTCCTATCTAAGCTGATAGCCTTGAGAGGTTATTTCAGCTTCTCCTTGACGAGTAGGTGAGCTCAAACCGAGAGTGTTGTTAACACTGGCCTTAGCAAGAGCAGTGCTACGCAGAATCTACCACCGGATCGGAAACGCGACCCACTGAGAAGATTCGGCAAGAAACTCAATGGGCTGTGTCTATGGGTTAGTTTACTCGTCGAGCCCATCGTCGCAAGCGACGGGTTCGGCGAGGACGGTAACTGGGGCTTGCGTTACAAATGATTTAAAAAAGCGTAAGAACGTTAAGTGATGTGGTATAAAAACGTGGCCTGTGGGATTATTCTGTTGGGAACTCCATACAAAGACGAGAATACATAAGTCAGTGCAATCATTCGTGGATGTATGTTATGTGCTGCACAGCCGGCATTCTTGATTGTCAATCTAATGAAGTTTAAAAGTTCAAAAGAAAATTATCTCTACAAGTTTCCAATGTGTGGTCAAACTGTTTTTAGTCGTTTAGTGGAGGGCCGAGAACTTTCTAGAAGCCACCCAAGCATTCGAGCAATCATTATAAAACTTGACCTCCCAAATAATTTAACTTACGTAACGCGAACGAAAACACGAAATACATAGTCAACTTGTAAGGCGTCTTTCGTTTACTAGGATTCCGTACAAATGCTACAAACGGTGGCCGCGGTTCATCAAACCTGACTCATTCCTCATTAATCAGTGAAGACCTTTGATGAAGCTTAACTAACATTCGTCGGAAAGTAGATTTCACGGGCTGACGGCTCTCTGATATCAGCTTACTAATAACCTTAATAATATTATGAAATATGTATATACATTAGGAATCTCGGAGACTGATCGAATTTAAAGAACTAAACATACCATGACTTTAATGAGCAACATTTTTAATAAAGAACCCACATATATCTTCAACCAGTAACTTACAACATTACATTACATTACACACCTGTTTCACATATTTGTTAGAAAATGATTCGAAGACCTCTGTTGATGGTACTTTACCAGAGAACCTTACCTGAAGCCAACAGCAACTATGTAGAAGCGTGAAAGCATAATTAAAATAAGGAAACATATAAACTATTATTGTATATTAATAATAAAAACCACCCACCCACCTATCAAAGAGAGCACTGACCTGGAAAGCGTCTGGCGAAAGGAAGAGAGGCCGCCCCAGAGCAACTTGGCGTCGCTCGGTAGAGCAGGAGCTAGGTGTCTTGAGCATGACGTGGGAGGAGCTAGAACAGACTGCCCAAGACCGATATAAATGGAAAAATTTGATTCGAGCCCTACACCCCAGCAGAGGATAATAACAGGAAAGAATGATGATGATAAAAAAAAACAAAAGTACATATATTTGTCTCGATATACGTTTCTCTATGGTATTTATTATAGATATCGTTTTACGACTTTTAAACGAAAACATTTTTCCCTCCATAAAATATTTATTCGCATTAAAAAGTGAAATTGATCAATAGTTGCGAATTAGGGATTAAACTAGATGTCCTTAGTTTCTGAACTCTGAGTTTTAATTTAGACTTAACACCAGGTGGGCTGTTAGCTCGTCCACCCATATGAGCAACAAAAAAAAAACTAAACGTTGTTTGAAAAACGAAGATGAAACATGTCAGTGGATAAAAAAAAACAAGATACCTAGTTTCGAAACAAGAAGGTAAACTTGTATACGGCTCCCAAAGCAACGTGGAATGTTAATCGTAACCACAACTGTTAAAAGTTTGAATAACATTATTTGATTAAGTAACTTCTTTAGTTAAACGTATTAAATTTAGTTTTGAAGGACTTACACTTTAAGTCAAAAGTCTAAGCTATTTAAGCGGATTAATTCGGCAAAAAATAACACAAAATAAAATATTGAATTGGCATCGGTCTTTGATCAGTATGCCAAATTTCGAGTTAATTCGATGTTTTGGAAGGGGTCAAAATCATGTTCAAAGATTCCGTTACATACTAACATACGTATAAAGCTAAGAAAAGCGTATTTTTTTTACATTTTGAGTTGTTTACAGTAACTACCCATGGATGACTGTTATTTTTTTTTTTTTTTATTTATTTCCCGAGTAGTCAGATATCGCTCATGGACATCAGCAATGATAGAGGCAGAGCCAAGCCACTGCCTACTTAACAATTAATTATTGGTGCTATAGTGCGAAAACTGTAAAGAATAACAATGAATATTTAAAATAATATTTAGACATCAGATTTATATTTTTTAAATCATTTAAGCATGGTTTATTCGGGAAAAGTTAAAGATATTGAAGCAGCGCGTGTTTCTATTGTGATACTAGTTTTGAGCAGGTAAAAAAAGCTCCTGGGCTAATGAAAAAGTTTATTACTTTACTCGCAGGTAGATAGGGCAACACGTAAGCGATTAATTCTTCATAAGCTCAATTATCATTCAATATTTACGTTGGCAGAAAATAAAATTATTAAAAGCACGCTTAAAAAATTTGCCTTTTCTCAAAGCTGTGTAATATATTAATTTAGATTAAATTACCTCTATTTTCATACGACTGACCGACTTGTCACGGCTTTAAGCACAAGACTAAGTAAGAATATTATCTAGGTGTTATGATATGTCTATGCAATTATGCTTTACATTAACTAATATCAACAACGGAGGAGGTAATTCTGCGTTTTTAGTTTATTCTACACACGGTATGAGGTTGGAGTATAAGCCATCAGTTTCGTAAGAATTGAGACGATGCAACAATTGACCTAAATTAAGTCGCGGTACTTTGGACTGTAGACTGATTAGTGTAGAGTGGTTTTTTATGCCTGTATTTATTCAAATACAAAAAAATTATATATACACAAATTCACAGGTAAGTTATTTATTTAATTAACAAATTCTTTCTCCCAGCAGACCTGCGCCATAATTTATAAACACAATGGAATTATAGTTTCGTCATCACTGCGATGTTGTTTGGGAAACGTTTATCGGATTTTTCAATGGAATTATTGTAATTATAAAAGTTCGGTTAAAGATATCTATAAAATAACAAACAATATTTAGGAGGCAATAGATAATGACAAAGAAAATGTACTAGATTATGATAAGGTACAAGCAATTGCGTGTTAACATAACAACCGATTAAGAATTTAATCTGTGCTTATTTTATTTGTATTTCGTTCGATCGTTATTATTCTAGGATTGTTATCGGGATAAGACTGTGCTAATTAAATTATAATCCTTTATTGGAAGTGTGTACGTTATAGCCTTGTCCAAAGTTTATCCGTGATTTGCGGGGCTTGATCAGTCAAGGAGCAAGGCCGCGGCGAGGCGACGCGGTCCGGGAGTCAGGCTGGCGGCAGTCGACACAGCGCGGTCGGCTCACCACCATGCCCGACGAAGAGCCCCCTTTGCCGCCTCCTTCACCCGTCCCGCCGCGCTTTGGGCCATCGCGCCTACGCCGCACGTTGCACTCGCTTCGTTCACCGTTCCGCCCCGGTTCGCCCTTCCACATCGGCTCTATCAAACGCACAGGCTCCAGCAAGTCCGTCGCCTCAGACGGTGAGATCACGCGCGACGAACGCACGATGCGTAAACGCAATAAAAAACAACGCGAAGCGGCCGCCGAGTCCTCTCGTAGCACTGGGAGCTCGCCCGGCGACGACAAACAGAAAAAGGAAGCCGGAGGTAGTCTTCTCAAACGTATGGGTAGTATTGGTAAAAAACGCAACGAAACTCCCGCAGTATCAGCTTCTCAACCAGAAACGTCACAGTCCGTCGAGAGCGTTCCAACTCCCTCTAACGAATTAGCGCGACCGACCCCTGAACCAGTGAGCCCCATCGCCGTCGAACATGCCGTCGCTACGAGACCTTTTACGAAAGCTGCTTGGAAACGCAACAGTGTACCCGAAATGGAAAAACCCGTGGAAGAACCGAGTCCGGAAAACGCGCTACGGAGACGAGTAGCGTTTGTTAGTCAGGCTTCCGTTGGCGGTTCGGAAGATCGCGATGATGACAGGGAGAGGGGAGGGACGGAAGTGGGGTCGTTGGAAGAGGCGGTGGCGCTAGCACGCGTGAAGCTGGCCGTGGCCACACCGCCCTCGTCGTCACAGTCGCGCGACAACGACACTGAAGAGGAGGGGCACTCGGACACGATGCCTGCCTACGGAGACCTGATCGAGCCGGAGAACAAAGCCGGGAACGATGCTACGACGGTAAGTGGATGCGTTGTATGTAGCGCAACGTGCGCGTNGTCGTTGGAAGAGGCGGTGGCGCTAGCACGCGTGAAGCTGGCCGTGGCCACACCGCCCTCGTCGTCACAGTCGCGCGACAACGACACTGAAGAGGAGGGGCACTCGGACACGATGCCTGCCTACGGAGACCTGATCGAGCCGGAGAACAAAGCCGGGAACGATGCTACGACGGTAAGTGGATGCGTTGTATGTAGCGCAACGTGCGCGTGGCCGGATCGCCGCATCGCTCGGCACGTCAGTGGACGAAGGTTCTCCGTGCGATGCGCGCGCGCCATGACCTTCGAGGAGGCAGTAGATGATTGCTACCTAACGGTGTGCGAGTGCTGTGGCTTCAGCGCCGAGACGACAGTTCTGTTCCCAGTACGTTTTATTTCACGCTAGTTTACAGCGGACGTGACGCTGCCGCGCGATGTCTTTCGTGAGTACGACTCGTTTGTCTGCTCGTGTGCGCTTCGCTTTTTTTTTTAAATTGTATAATTATTATTAATGTTTTTAATTTCGAGCTTTCTTGTGTGGTGTATCTGTGGCGTTTTTCAACATCGATATAAATTGGTTCTTATTCGGTGTTGATGGAATTTTAATTTGACCATAATTTAAAAAAATCTATTTCCGCCTTCATGAATTATTAAATAACACTAAAGCTAACACGAAATACGAATAACGTAAGTCGATCTAGTACCTTCTTAAAGTATATGCAGTTCAATATTACAAATAGAAAACTCGTTTACGTTATATGATACTGCGTAATATTTTGAATAGTAATATTTTGAACACAAACAAAGAAATGTATAAACGACACTAGGATAATTCATAAAAATCGAATAAGCTTTGCTATAACTATATAGCAAGACTATATTTATTCGAGAATGATATATGACTTTATTGATCCTAAAGCATTATAGACTAAATATGTATTAAAATTTTATTTTACAGTTTTCTCTTCAAATAACCGCAAAAATCTATTTGTCCCCTTTTAATAGGTGTATGTGAGAACATATTATTATTTAATTCTCATAATTCTTGGGGCCCATGTTTAAGCCGAGGGCAAATAACATAATTAAAATAACAGGCAACATTTTAAAGAATGGTCATGTTGTTTTTTTTTCCTCGAAATGACGTCTTAAAAGTATAGGTAACAGTGTGCATAATATCATTAATTGCCAAAAATTCGAATCTATACCATTTGATTCTGTGTATATTAGCATACATTAATTATGTATATCAATCTACATACCGGTGAATCTCGTTTTCCATAACAACAATTAACATTCAACAATTCGGTTGCCGATTAGAATCTAACTGATGTTAACTTGTGGCTTTTAGTTGTCGTTTCTAGAATGTTTCAAAGATAAATATATTCAAATTCAAAGGTTTATTATCGATTTTAATCAGAACTAGTGGTCCCGCAGTAGTCGAATAATAATTAATTGAAATTATAAGTTTGAACACTATTATGGTTCTGTTGTCAAAGACTGTTAAACTTTTTTAGTCTTTTCTTCTTTATATTTTGGCTCCGGCACGGTTTGTGCATTAGCTAGAGTCAAGTAAGATTTTTAGAATTCGCCGTTTGAATTATTTACAGTTTTGTATTAAAAAAAACGAAGGAAACCCAAATTAATCAGTTGAGATTATATTAAATGAAATAAGATGAGATGATATGGGATGAAATATAATATCAGTAAAATGCTTCGAACAACAATAGTAACATTGTTGATCGAAGGTAAAATGGTAGTTATTTATTGAGTCTTTTTCAGTTCGTTTTTTGAAGGATCCCGAGAAGCTACGTCCAGCGACTTTGTTTCATTTTCCCACAATTATGCACTTTCATAGATGTTAAACAGTTAATAAACCACCATTATTACACATTTAAACTCGAAGAAACACTAAATAGACAAAATAAAACAATTGACACAACTTTGTTCTTCGCTATCCCGACAAAAAGTCCAATATTATAGAATTACAGATTTCGCCAAGACTACACACTATAGACAGATATAAAGTCAAACAATATTAATTTATGCTATTTGTAGGGTTTAAATGTGTAATAACGGTGGTTTATTAACTGTTTAACATCTGTGAGAGTGCACTAATGTGGAAAAATAAAACAAAGCCGCTGGACGTAACTTCTCGGGATACCCCAAAAAGTCTCAGTAAATAGGATAATAGGAGTAATGTCCTCTAATAGGAGTAAGGACCTCTTGTGAGTCCGCACGGGTAGGGACCACCACCCTGTCTATTCCTGCCGTGAAGCAGTAATGCGTCTCGGTTTGAAGGATGGGGCAGCTGTTGTAACTACACTGAGACCTTAGAACTGATATCTCAAGGTGGGTGGCGCATTTACGTTATAGATGTTTATGGGCTCCAGTAACCACTTAACACCGGGTGGGCTGTGAGCTCGTCCACCCATCAAAGCAATAAAAAAAAAACAAAAAATCTTTTTTATTTTTTAGGCGGGTGAACGAGCTCACGATGCACCTGGAGATAAGTGGTAATCGGCCCATAGACATAATCAGCGTAAATGCCACCATCCACTTTGAGAAATGAGTTCTAAATCTCAGTTCTGTAGCACAACGGCTATCCTGCCTTTTGGACCGGCATTACTGTTTTTTTTTTGTTTTTTTTTGTTGCTAAGATGGGTGGACGAGCTCACAGCCCACCTGGTCCTAAGTGGTTACTGAAGCCCATAGACATCTACAACGTAAATGCGCCACCGACCTTGAGATATAAGTTCTAAGGTCTTAGTATAGTTACAACGGCTGCCCCACCCTTCAAGCCAAAACGCATTACTGCCTCACGGCAGAAATAGGCGGGGTAGTGGTACCTACCCGTGCGGACTCACATGAGGTCCTACCACCAGTAACTACCTACTTCGCAGCAGGACTAAGCAGGGTGGTGGCAGTTATCCTTGCTGGCTCACAAGATGCCTTACCACTACTGGTGTGAGACGTGCAATAAAAAAATTTACCTATAAAAAATCAGAACTTTGTTTTATAATTATATGTGTGCGGTATATCAGAGGCCTACTACAAAATATCAGATTGTTAAAACGATCAGCGAATATATATTGTTTTCGTCAGCTTTGGTCAGCGAATATACATTCTTTTCTCTTATCCAAAAGTACTGACGGGGTGGTAAATTATAATCGCTTTGGTTTCGGCAACAGTTTCCTCACAAACTTCGTTCCTTTTTTTGGATTTAGTACCAGATTGACGGCATGCGATAATTTGCGTCGCACAAGTTTATTTTAAAATATTAATATCGATATTTTTAAAATATGTTGGTATTTAATGGGATTGTAAAAATTTTACAAATACTAATGCCTTCCGTCCCCACTCCTCAGTTCCCGTAACCTATATGTGTATTTCTTATTTTGGCGTCAGTATATATTGTTTGACAAAATAGGCTTAAGTATTATATGTCCAACATCCTGCCATCTTGTGTTAAACACTTTTATATTTGCCTACCTATTGATAGTAGCCTCGTTAACCCGACACAGCCCACTGAGTTTCTCGCCGAGTCTTCTCAGTAGGTCGCGATTGCGATTCGTTGGTAGATCCTGTGAAGCACTGCTCTTGCTAGGGCTAGTGTTAGCAAATTCCGTCAGATTGAGCCCGTGAGCTCACCTACCAGTCCGGACGTAACTGGGATAGCCTCTTAGGCTACCAGCGAATAGGTATAAAAAAAGTATCCTCGATGGCTTATGTTAGCTTCGCCGAACGTGTAAGCGAGATTACGGGGTCAGCCAGGAGACTTTGCTAACACCTTCTTTTTACATATAAAATATCATTGGCTAACACTTTAAACAGTTGAAATCGTTTATTCGAAACGATATCTAATACGGAAGGTTGACGGCAGGTATTAACACTATGTTTTTACCGGTGGTAGGACCTCTTGTGAGTCCGCACGCGTAGGTACCACCACCCCGCCTATTTCTGCCGTGAAGCAGTAATGCCTTTCGGTTTGAAGGGTTGGGCAGCCGTTGTGACTATACTGAGACCTTAGAACTTATATTTCAAGGTGGGACGTCGTAGATGTCTATGGGCTCCAGTAACCACTTAACACCAGGTGGGCTGTGAGCTCGTCTATCCACCTAAGCAATAAAAAAAGAAAAAAAAATGTTGTGGGATCAAAAATACAATAACCCTATTTTACATTTGCAACACAAAATTCGAAAGAATTTTATTTTATTTTACTGTCGTATCATTTAACTTTTGCATACAATTATTGCACAATACCTACTAATTTGATTCGTAATGTAAGTACTTATCTTAATAAGTTACTTTTAACGATCCATTTGTAAATCACTCGTTAATAAACTTGTATCATTAATATTAAAAATCAATTAAGCATTTCAAAATAGTAGGTAAACTAGAACAAAATTATAAGAAACTTTTCCGACCAAGTGTTATTATCTTATTTGATTATGACGTTATCTCGGTGCAGTAAGGTAGATTTTGCGAGCACTCTTCATTTCCGTTCCGGTTCGATAGCATTGAAATTAAATTAGTGATGTATAGAAATCAAAATTATCGATAACGCTGTTATTTATTATTTAAAGTTTTGAACTAGAATTGGAGTTTCTTGCATACAAAGTTGAAAAAAAGACATTTACAAAATAATCTTGTGTTGGTCTGAGATTGGCTAATTCATTAAAACTAGAAATAAGTTTATCTTCTTGTTTTTATTAAAGATTATAAATAATATAATCTGTTAATGCAATATCGATGATTTCAAAATAATTATTATACAACATACAAGGTTGACTTTCTATCTAAAAATGACTGTTATCTTAAGTCAAGACGATCATCACTTTAACAGATCAAGACTTAAGCCTGTAGCAATAACACGAATTTCCAAAATAAGGACTTGCATCAAATGCACTTAAAATTTATATGGGGAAAAAATCTTCAAGCTTTCGCAGAAATTATTTTGATAGGCACAATCAGAAGACTATAGCAATA